TTAAACCTTTTCCCTGGTCTCCCTGTTTGGTCTTCTGCATTTGTGTCTGAACTTTAGTAAAATCATGACATGATCCAACTTTTTTACTTCAGTTATGATACCAATATTGCCGCTTCGGGTCTTGAATGATAACAATATTGAGCCGAAATGATATTAGCAAAAATTATACATATCTTTATTGCTCATTAAGTAATTGTAGCATAAGAAAATGTTTTAGATGAAGTGATATTATTCAGAAAAGGTTAGTCTTCAATAGTGGGTATGAAAGCAACTGATCAATAGGTTACATAAACATTAAAAAGAAGCAGAGTATTTCTCTCAACTTGCTTATATCTGAAGTTTTAGATGCAGGCTATACTTTAAAATGTGTTTTTTTGGCTGATATTGGGCTGTTAGAGTGTAGCTAGAATCCTCAATCAATAACTGACCTTATGTCATGGATATAAGAAATATATAAAACAACACTTAACAATAACTAATACTTTATCTTCCTGTATACGTTACGAAAATTTCATAAACCTAAAAGCACTTAAAGGTTCCCAGTTTTGTTTAGTACATGTATCTATAGTACCTGTATGACTGAAGGATGTCAATGATTCCTAAAAAGATGAGCAGGTTTTCATCCTTGTGTTTGGCAGGAATTCCCCCAAATCTAGAAAAAGAAAAGACTTTCATTCAGACATATTTGCATATTTAACCTTTTTTTCTTATGTGTTTTGCATCGGATCATAACTTTTAAAGTGATTCATTTATTTGCACGTCAGTTTTCACAAAATTGTTTACTCACGTGTCGTCATCCGCAACCGGTTCTGGGTCCTTTACGGTTCCCTGGATGGACTCCAGCGCCGTGGAGTAAAGCACTTTCTGTCCTCTTCTGCTATCCAGTCTGTTTCCTCTGCTCAGCGGCTTCCTATTCAACACATGAATCCCCAGCAGCAGACTGTAGTCCATGATCTTAAAGCTCTCAAGGACCTGATGAAGCAGAAGTTAAGCATGAGTACGGGTTTTAAAGAAGAAACCCAAGCTAAGCTTATATATCCGTTGGGGAAAATAAGCTTTTTTAACAAGATTTAGTAACATTTTGTTCCAAGTTTTAAGTATTTTAGCTGTAATTTATGAGCCAAGTTAGCATGAACCCTAACAGCAAATATCTTCCATGTTAGACATTTAAAATTGAAAGACTTTAAGACTTTAACCTTTACATTTGACCTTCTATAAATTACTTTCTTGATGCTTGAAGTTTGTTTGCTACGCTAACTGAAGAGGTTGTTTGATTATATTTTGTCTTTTTGCCATGTGTCTAATTACTACGTCTAAAGAGAAATGTAGGTTTGATAATTTTACGAATATTAAAGGTATAGAGGACGATCTTTTATTTCTGGGTGGATCATCTAAATAAGTGGTCCTCCTACTCGTCAATCATTCTGGTGATATGTTTACGTAAGGCTATTTTTTGTGCTCGCCCCATCAGCTATCTTTTTCCGCGCATGCGCACTTTCAGGCGTATATGTGTGGTGAGCTAGGGTTTCAGACAGTGGTTGAAGCTTTCTCAGCGCGGTTCTTTGAAAATGGCCGAGGATTGTAAGAAAAAAAAGTGTCTATGAAGAGTATGAGAAGAAAAGAAAGGCCTCAGAAGAGGCAGATATATCCCAGAATGCTTTGCGCGGAGCTCTCCTCACAAAGCATTATGGGATTTGCTGTCACTGTGGCCTTTTGTCGCCATAGGCTGTCTCTACCAGACAGCGGTGACTAGTAAAGATGGCGCAGGCCCAGCGCAGTTACGTGACCAAGGGAAAATAAAAAGCAGTGATCATCTGTCCGAACGGTCAGTTAATTGAGTTCACTATAAAGTCCACTGTATAGTCCCGGCTGTATGTGGACACAGTAAGCTAAGATCTATGAAAACAGAACATTTTATACACGGCGTGCAGGAGGAGAAAGGCTCGTGCATCCTCTTGCACACGCATTTTTTAAAAAAGTCGTAGGGAAGCGGCCGTTCTAACCGTTGCAGTTTCGCATTCTTCGAGTGGTGCACCGCCCCAAACCCACACAGAAGACCATCACTGTGTGGC